TTTCTTTTTCTTTGGACTGCTTAATTGATATAGTAACACCAACAAAAAAAAGTAATGATGGCAATACGTCATCTCTTTTGTGTTCTGACTATCGCTTTGTGTTGTCTCTGCAGTTGTGTGGTAGCGGCTGAGGAAGCTGAAGCTAATGCTCTTGAGGCTAAATCTACGGAACTTGGTCCTGATGGTTTACCTGTTCCTGGTATTGGGAAATCTAAGACTTCTTCATGTCCATCTACTTCACCACCTGGTGCTGATACTTCTCAGTGTTTAAAAAGTAGTGGTGAAGAAGATAATAATGATCATGTTAACCGTGATCATTCACAGGAACTGGTACAGCCGCATAGTCCAGTGATCCACACAAATGGAGACCATCGAGAAGAGGGAACTGTTAGCAGCGGTACGAAAAATGAACTCACCGAAGCAGGTCAGAAAGCGGTAGAAAACAATCCACATGTTGGTGTGGTACCTGAAAGAGCAGCACGTGATATTACTGCTAATCCTGATTCTGCACGTGGAGAGCCTGGAGTTACTGCTGTTGATGTTGAAACTACTTCTCCAACACGTGAGACTCCTCCACGTACAACTGAACATATTGATCCCAAGATTGATGGATGAGAAGCGTTGGGCCCCAAGGCACAGAATGAGGATGACTCTTTAGCTGCTGGTCACGAGAATGAGAGACACGTAACTGCAGAGGGACAAGCTGAGAAATTGGAAACCCCACCACAAGGGAGGGATGATAGGAGTACAGGGAGAAGTACATCATCTTCTACCAATGAAGTGAGCAGTACAGGAACTGCGGACAATAACGGGAATCAACACACAGAAGAAGGAGATAATGGTGTTCAGTCTACTNCCTGTTGGGATTATCTTTTTCTTTTTATGTTTCTTAATGTTAATGTGTTTTGTGTGTTTTTTTGCTCTCTGTGTGTTTATCCTATAATTATTATTATTGCTACTCCATTGTGTGTGAGTGTGTTCTTGGAGACTCTCTCTGTGTGTGTGCCTGGGCTTGTACTGTGATGATAATGATGAACTGCTTTTTATAGTGGGAAAGGAAAAAGAAATAATAAGAAATGAGTTTATATTTATAATTGCTTGTATATACACATATAAACTTACACCCATAGTTGGTGTATATTTCTGTGTTTACTGGGTAAATTGGGCTAATGGTTAATACATGATTCTTTGTTTGCTTGTGGTTTGCTGGGTCGTTGTGTGCTTTGACCTGTACGGTTTATGGTAATCTGTTTTCTGCAGAGAAAAGAAAAAAAATAATAGTTAATACAATTTGTATTCTTATGTGCTTGAACACACCAGCATACCAAGTGGTCTGTGAGTTATTTTTGTGCGGTTGGTCCTCTTTTTAATTTGTGTTTTTGTTCACGTTTTCTTTGCTTGGGCACTGTGTGCTTTTTCCTGCATTGTTCTGTGTTAGAGTGTTTTGTGCAGAGAAAAAATAATAAAGAATACATAAGTATATATTTGTAAGTGTGCTAGATCCTACAGGAAGAGGCATTTTGATGTATTTCTGTGCTGTCTGCTTTTGATGCTTGTTCTCTTTCATTTCTTTTTTTTTCTTTTGAGGGGTTAATTGGGATTATCTGTTTGGTAATGGGTATTGTGTACTTTTTGCTTCAGTAGGACCCTATCTGAGAGATGTTTGCAGTTGTCTTCCGTGTTTAGGTTACCGTTACACTTTTCGTTTAG